CTCGAAACGCTTAAGTAGACATTGCTAATATAAGCACCTCTGCTACAGAGCCAGGCGATGAAGGTTTCTTAAAGGCCTCTGATAAACACAGAGACCACCCGAAACACACAGTAGTTTACTTGGGAGTAGCATAATTTCAGTGTTCAGTGGCCCAAAATATTGTGGCCTTCAGTCTATCTTCAGAGAAACTCAGAAACTCCTAGAATACACATGCAGGGACGTCTGTCACCCCCACACACTCTCACTGTTTAAGTTCAAGTTGGCTCGGAACAGGGGAGAAGGCCGGGGGGGAAGCAGCCAAATTCCCAGAGACTTGGCATGGCAACGTCTTGGGCTGAATTGGTTCAGAAGCTTCGAGTTTTCAAACAATCCCTCTAAGTTTCTGTAGGCGATTTATGTCATTATATTGGCACATACATTTTTCCATCTCAGTATAACAAAACCACAAAAATCTTGCTGTCACAGACAACTCGTTAGTATTGTTAAGGAAATTCAGTGTGCCCATATAAACACACAGACTCCAAGTAGAGGCATGATTCTCCGATCCTTCTCTTCCGAGTCAGTAAGAGTGAAGACCTGAGGGGAGGGAAGGAGGAGGGGAGGGGCTGGGAGGAGGGGGGGAAGAGGAAAAAATGGGACTTATCTGTAATACTATCAATAATAAAAAATATATTTTTTTAGAAAGAGAATGCATTCCAGACCAAGGAGAAGGGAGGCATCGAGCTCTTCTTTAACCCCCTCTTCCCCTGAAACATAAGTTTTATTCAGACAAGTTGCTGTGGTAGCCAGGCTCCTCCTTGCTGCCTTGATATTTTGAGTTCAATCGCATGTAACTGATCACAGCCCTTGGCATGCGTCTCTGGGCAGATTTTTGCTTGCACCTCTTTGGCCAAGTCCAGCCGAGAACGCCGGCCTGAGTAGGCTGACTTGGCAGAACTCTGAACCTGGACTCCTCTGTCGAGGCCAAAGGGTTTGTACTACTTTCTAGAAAGTTTGTGCTTATGGAACAAATTCAATATTTGTTTATATTAGGAAAATAGAGTGAAATAACAAAAAATCATTTCTGCTCCTTCTCGATGGTAGCAAAATAGACTGAACAGGAAGTAGGGTTTACAAATGCTCAGCCTCGGATCACAGACGGGACGAACACACCGAGTGAAATGTCAGAGTCAAATAACACGTGCATCAAAGTTAATGACCCGGATTTAATGATGCGCATGATCACAAGAGTTGCT